TATATATATATATAATGGTGTGTGTGTATGTTTAAAAGATTTTTAATTAAGTTGCGAGCACCGTAAAACTTTAACAAGCATATACATATATCACGATTTTAAATTGTTGTCCGCAGTTTTTTAAATACCCAGTTGCTTTCACAGAACGCAGTGTTGTTGGTTGTGTGCTATCTTGTTCTGCAGGTACTTCAACAATCGCTCTATATTGTGAAGTTTGCAGCTTTTATTTTTTTTTAAGCACGTGATACATGATGCGTGCATATCTCAACTCACTTTTGGTTTGGACTGGCTGTCGTTCTCATTCGTCACCTTTTCGTTATGACGTGTCATGATCCACATTTTGCCATGTCCTGGGGGGTTTACTTTTTCTTTTTTTTTTTTGAGGCTGCTTTTCATTTATTAACTCTTATTGTTCTGTCTCTTCTCTGTCCGACTTTTGTTTCTATCTTGTTTTTATTTTGTATATTTAAAGGAAAGGAAGTAAAATTCCTGATTTTTATTTCTTCTGTTTGAGCAACCTGACCTCTCCCCATTGAAGAAAATCCAGCGGTTCAACAGATTCTGGTTTAAGTGGACCCCAATATATATATATATATATATATATATATTATATAAATGTGTGTGTATATTATTCATATTTGTGTATATGTGCGTGTATGTGTGTACACACATGATATAATATGACCTCTTACAAGAAAAATAAGTGACTTCGACTGGCCTTTGGAGAATTTCTTATGTGTCAAATCAGCAAACGGCAAAATTATATGTTTATAATATATGTATGGTATCAAAAAGCAACCAGAGAGAGTTTGTACACGTGATAAATACACAGTCTAAAATGAAATTATTTTTGCTAAATACAGGGTCAGAGATGTAGATGGTTGGCTGGAACTGTGGTGTGGTTTTGTTCCTTCTTTCCTATCAAACATGATCTACCATCCTTATCTCTCCTCTTTCTTTTCTTTGTATGTTTCTCTTTGGTAGTACCCTCAATCTTCAGCATGTAGATGACCTATTTGTATTGGAAATGTCGTAATACCCTTACGAAAAGGGGTCACAGATGAACAGTCCTTTGCGGGTGGTTAGTGGGTGCTTTAGTGTGGTTTGCACCTTCTTTCCTATGAAACACGATGCATCTTCCTTATCTTTCCTCTTTCTTTTCATTGTTCGTTACCCTTTAGCAACACCTCAATCTTCAGCAGGTATATGACCTATGTACGTTACTACAAGTGTCGTTAAACTCTTACGACGTTACTACAAGTGTCGTTAAACCCTAACGTAAACGGGTCAGACAGGAACAGTTCTTTGATTTTGTCACGCTGACAAAAGCCCATATATATATATGCCGTGACCCGGATGGAAGGATGACCTGTACGCTGTCACATAGATAGTGGGATCAAGAATGTGCGCACCAGGCAGGCTGTACTGTACAGGAGATCAGAGAGATAAGGGAGGTGGTAATGACACCGTATTCTAAAATTGTGGCTGGGGGGGATTAATTTTAAGTTGGCCGGAAGAAAGGTCTCTGACCGATATGATGGGATTTTCCTTTCTTTTCTTAACTTTTTCTGTTATGTAAAACATGGGTCTCAATATGGGTCGCTGTTTAGTGGATTTCCGCTACCGCCATTTCCTCCGCTAGACTCCGCTACCGCTACTCTTTTACTTGAAATTATCTTCCAAACCCTCAAAGTGGTATGAAATAACCTTGTTTTAATAAATTGATCTGGGTGGCTGGCGGGTGCTCTGATGTGGTTTGCTTGTTCTTTCCTATCAAACATCTATCGTCCTTATCTCCCCTCCTTTTTTTGTGTTTGTTACTCTCTTGTAACACATATTCTATTCTTCAGCACTTCTTTTTGTGTTGCAAATACCATAAAACTTTTACGAAACTAAAACAAAACCCTTTCTTTTTTTAACTTTTTCTGTTATATGTTAAACATGGGTCTCAATATTCCGCTATTTAGCGGATTTCTGCTACCGTCATTTCCTCAGCTAAACTCCGCTACCGCTACTCTTTTACTTGAAATTATCTTCCAAACCCTCAAACTGGTATGAAATAACCTTGCTTTTAATAAATTGATGGGTTTTATTTGAGCATTCTGGTCTAGGGAACAGTATAAAGATAATCAGTGTCTCGTGAAAATAGTTTCTGTCGCAATCACACGGAAAGCTCCTCCTTTTTAAAGATTTTGATTGGAGACCCATGATAAAAAACAAAAGGGTTAGCTGCAGAGTGGGGGTGTCAGCAGGTTCATGCATTTCCCTCACTTGTGGCGTTGGTGGCCTAGTGGTTAGGCTACCGGGCTCTTAATCGTGAAGTTCGGGGGTTCGAGCCACAGGCCCGACATTGTGTCCTTGGCTTGGGAAAGGCACTTTACACGAATTTTCCCCACTTTACCAAGGTGAAAATGGGTATCCAGCTATAGACAGTGAAAGATCTTGTCAGTTTGTTAGTGTTTGAGCGCTTAACCAGCTGCTTGCACTGTATGCTTCCCGGGAAGCTGAGAATGTTTCTGAGTGTTCTCTGGTCTGCTGGGGTAATAATATGGTGTAAAGCGCATAGAGCTTGCTTTCGAGTGGAGGCATGCCCTATACAAATGCTATTTATTATTATTATTATTACTTGTATGGTCCTACTCATGTACTGTGGTTCAGATCTGTCTTTCTTTTTAACCGGCACAAAAAGGGTTAATATCTGCGGCTTTCTAGCTAGTACTATTACTAATTTTTGGACACAGGTGTTAAAAGCATTTTGTTCTGACCTTGAGCTTTTCCATCTGACTTAATGTTTGTTTCCCCCCCCCCCCCCCCCCTCCTGCTCTTAATAAGGGTAAAACAGGAGAAGGGGTCAGGGAAATCTGATTATAATAGCTTGTTTAGCAGCCCTTCCAATCTGTTACCCCTTAGTGGAATGGAAGAAATTTCAGGCGGGAAACGGGGTCTCTCTATTTTAAGGAGGAGGGGGGGGCGAAGAAATGGGGTAGATTTTAAGTGATTATTTCTCTCTCTCTCTCTCTCTCTCTCTCTCTCTCTCTCTCTCTCTCTCTCTCTTTCTCTCTCTCTCTCTCTCTTAGCAAAACACTGCCTGATTCTCCTCCTTCAGCTCGCTCCTTCTTTTTCTTCAGTTTCTTGAAAGTGCTTTGACTTTCAGCAAAATTCTGCCTCATTTTTTTTTTCTTCTGTTCATTGTGTGGGCTTGAACTTTAATTGTGAGGGCATTTCCTTATCTCCGAGTCGAGGGATTAAGAAGAGCTGTCTAGACATTTCGTTATCTGTTTCACAATATTATATTCATTTCAGTAACCCACTTTTGGTGATTGTCGGTGCGATTGCGGTTGTTGAATGGTCCCTTCAGAGGTTTTTTCCCCTTTGCTTTCATCGCTGACCTTTGGTTTTGACCGTTCTTTTCTTTTTATAGTCTTGACCTCTATAATGTCAGTAGGTCAGTCGATCGGCAAATCTGACTGAATTCACCTACTTTTTGTCGAATGTTATTAGAACATTTCTTCAGCTCTTCGACCATACTAGGTAGCTTTTTATGATTTCTCTTGACCTCACATCCTCTGTACCTTTGTGATAAAAAAAAAGAAAAGAAATATGAGGCAAGATGGATGGAAAAACCTCAAGGTCTGATCAAAATACTCTTCTTTCCCTTCTTTCTCTCTAAGTAAGTTCAGCTGGCCAAATATGTTGTTTCATGTTTAGGTTTTTAGTTTTTAATTGAGTATCTCAATCGGTTTCATTCCATAACTTCACTTGAGTTGACCCTGGCAGGCACTGTCAAATCAACCCGGTGGGTGGTTGGTGGATGCTCTGGTGTGGTTTGCTCGTTCTTTCCTATAAAACATCAATCATCTTTATCTCCCCTCCTTCTTTTTTGTTTTTGTTACTCTCTTGTAACACCTCTAATTTTTGGCACTTATATGAGCTTATTGTGTTGCAAGTGCCGTAAAACACTTACTAAAACTAAAACCAACCCACCTCCTATATTATGGAAAGTGTGTCAATGAGAACGTAATATACTTACATTTTCTTTTTTCTTCCTCTTCATTGTGATTTATGTGCAGTCGAAATTGTCCAAGACAGCCACCCATTGTCAAGGAGGAAAATGGCTGTCATCTTAGACAGATAGATGTCTTTTGTCTTTGACAGTGTCATTATTACATTTAAAATTTTACTCAAACAATGCAAAACAAACACTTTTGTGTGTGGTATAGCCTGCTAAACACATTGCTTTAAAAGACTGTTACACTTAATCTTTTCGCTCTTTTCAAAATCTGGACCAGGGTGAGTTTCAATGTACAAAATAAAATCAGTTTGGGATGTGGCAGGTTATCATTTATGGTACAATATGTATATATCTAACATCTACAGCTTTTTCCCCGTACAATCTCCTATGTGGGTGGTTGGCAGGTGCCTGGTGTGGTTTGCTTCTTCTTTCCTATCAAACACCTATCATCCTGAAATCTCCTCCTTCTTTTTTTGTGTTTGTTACTCTCTTCTAACACCTCTACTCTCCTGTACTTATATGACCTTACTGTGTTGAAAGTGCCATAAAACACTTACTAAAACTAAAACTAAACAAACTAAACAATCTCCTATATTGTTCTTATTGTACGGTACACTGACTGCTCTATTGTGGTTTGCTGACAGAAAATTATGCCCGGAATGTTGAGGTGTTTCTTTTTCTCCTGTGTTAAAGGTTGCTGTTTTGTTTTGTTTTTGTTATTTGTTTGTTGGAAAGGGGGTTTGCTTTTTGGTACAAAATTCTTGCTTCACAAAATATATCATTACTGTCACATGAAAAATGAACTACTGCATTGTTTGTTTTTAAAATTTGTACTCACCCTGTCTATCAGGATCTAAAAAATCTGCTCATCGAGACTTTGTTTTTCTTATGGCGATAATGATGTGCTCCCTACATATGTAAAAAAGAGTTGAGATTCAAAACTAAAAAAATATGCCGAAAATAAAAGACTTTTCCTCACTCAATATCTTTCAGATGTGGTCTTGGCGGCACTTGTCACTTTGGTGATGACTATCCTCTTTGAGGGCCTGAAAATTATTAAGAATCTGATCGTGTTGTCACGCAAGAGAAACCCTCTGGCAGTTCAGGATGACGATAACCAGGCAGGAGGAGGCATCGAGGTCAGCCACTCTGACACGGACCTGCTTTCGTCTTTACAAATCCCAGCAAGCATCGCTATGATTCGGAGAAAGAAGTATGTAACGTCGTATGGCGGGAACCGAATCTTGCCATTTTTTGTCTTCCTGAGTCATCCTCTTCATCATCATTGCCTTTCTCACCCTGGATCAAGATATAGGCCATGATCAAACACTTTCCGTGGGTGGTTGGCGGGTGCTCTGGTGTGGTTTGCTCCTTTCTTTCCTATCAAACAACTATCGTCCTGATCTCTCCTCCTTTTTTGTGTGTGTACTCTCTTGTAACACCCCTAATCTTCGGCACTTATATGACCTTATTGTGTTGCAAGTGCCGTAAAACTCTTACTGAAACTAAAAACACTTTCCACTTTTCCCTATCCTGGGCTAGTCGCTTGATGTCACTCCATGTCTTCTCATTTCTGAATGCCTTCATCGAATGAAAATCTCGTTTCAGTTTTATTCATTTTATAAATTATGTCCTATTTGTTTAGTTTGTAGGTTCATGAATGATATCACACATGCGTGTGTGGCGTAGCATTGTGGTGTTTGACTATGTCTTGCAGGAGACCTGATTTCAATTCCCGGGTGGGGACAAATTTTAAAAGAGTATCTTCGTCTTTGTACTGGGATGTTGTATCCCTCTCAGCTCAGGCTGACCTTGACAAGCAGGGTGGGAAGCCTCCCTCCTAAATTATCTAGATTCTGTTGATGGAGTGTGAAAATACTAATATTCAAGTAAAAGAGAAATTTAAAAGATAATTACTTTAATTTTTAACCCATTCAATGCCATATTGATGTACCTGGCATGATCACAGAATTGCACAATTATCTTGACCTGCCTGGGAATGCAGAACGCATAATATCAAAAGGGTTAAACTGGATAACAATATCTACCGGGGGCTTGTCTGATTTACACCAGTCTCCATCATCTGATGGCGGATACACTTGTGCCGTTTTAATATTCCCGTACGTTCGTTTCAATTTCTGTTGTCATTATAGGCTTACCAGTCTGAAGAATTGATTTATATATTACATTACACAGCTCTGTGATTGTGGTTTGTGGTTTTCCTTGCTAAGATCAGGGAGTGTGAACAAAGAATCACATTTCTAACTAGAATAGGGTCTTTCGTCTGTCTTGTTTCTTTATGTTATCTTACCATGAGTAAGATGGTGGGTGATTAGAGGAGGTCACTGGTAGGCTCTATTTCTTTTTTTTTTTTTTTTTTTTCAGCACTAAATGGACACATTTTTGTTTCAGTGTGCTTCTCTTTTCTCAAACAAACCAATCAGAGTTAGTGGTTGGTGGGAGATTTAACTTTAAAGAGGTTTGCTCCCCATTTCCTATCAAACATCCATCATCTTTATCTCTTCCACATCTTTTCTTTGTATGTTACTCTCTAGTAACACCTTTAATTTTCAGCACTTATACTACCTATTCGTGTTGCAAATGCCGTAAACTCTTACTAAGTGGGTGCTTTGCGGGTGATCTGGTATGGTTTGCTCCTTCTTTCCTATCAAACCTCTATCATCCTTATCTCTCCTCCTTTTTTTTGTATGTTACTCTCTTGTAACACTTCTAATCTTCAGCACTTATACGACCTATTTGTGTTGCAAATGCCGTAAACTCTAACTAAGACTAGAACGAAACAACTAGGAGTAAGATGTATTGCTAGAAACTTCTCTTTCTGTTTCCCTCAGAATGCTACTGTTCTCCCTGGAGTCATGCATGCACATGTTCAACTTTCTCTATGGCTACATCCTCATGCTGTTGGTGATGACCTATAGCATATGGTTCCTTTTACCGGTTCTGTTTGGTAAGTTTGTGGGATGCTGTTTTTTTTAACGATAGAAATCTTTTTTAAAATAATTTCTTAAATGTGTGTGTGTGCATTCGGGGGGGGGGGGGAGACATTTATTCGTAGAGAAAGCCGGAAATAACACAGTTCTAAAAGGGTGGTGGGGGGAGCCCTTATAGCAATATGTTCCTTTTCACCGTTTCTTTTTGGTAAATTTTGGGGATGTTTTTTTTTTGACCGATAGAATTCTTTTTAAAAATAATTTTTTAGAGCTGGGGGTGGCCTTCGGGGGGGGGGGGGGAGACATTTATTCGTAGAGAAAGCCGGAAATAACACAGTTTGAAAAGGGTAATTAAGTTTCAATTTGGTGTTTTGTTGGGTTTTTTAAATCTTTTCTTGGGAGGGATTGGGGGGGGGGGGGGGGGTGTATGTTAAGATTTTAAAGTGTATTGTTATGGTGGTTCTTTTTAGTAACAGGAAAAGGACTGCAGTTGTACCCTTCTCATACAACTTTGTGAATGATGGTACCCTTATACTGGTGATGGCTAAATACAGAACTGTATAGAAGTTCAAAAATGGGACTTTTGACTTCCTCACTGAGGGAGGGGGTGGAGGCAATTAAAGTCGTCTTTTACCACATTTTCTATGAAGGTGTTTTTTTCAATCAAAGTGCCAACAATGCCCCTGTGCTATTTTGATAGCCCCATTGTGGCTTTATGGTAATATTACATACACACTTTTGGGGTTTCTTTATTTTTTTATTTTTTTTCGTCAGATTAATTTTGGCTGTTCTTCTGTGCCACAGGTTCGGGGCTGGGTTATTTGATCTTCCAGCCTATCGGTCACCGTTTAACCAGCAAGTACTCACCGAAAACGTCAAATAGCACCAACGGAGACAGCTGCTGTTACGTGGAGCCACAGCTAGACGGGCCCGGCGTGAACTCCCAGCGGACGGGGGCAGAACCCGAAGGTCTTTGTTTATGATACATCCCTCTCTCTCTCATACAGCAACAACTACATCATCACCACTACCACCATTGTGCTTGCTGATTTGTGCACCTGTTCCTCCTCGCATTTTGCCGTACTCTCTCACCATGGCTACGGGAGGTTTTTTAAATAAATTCCTTTATTTGATCTCATTATATTGTATCCAGTAGCCACTAGACTCACACTTGTTGTATAACACGCCAGTGATGTAAGCAAAACTCACTGAGATGGTCTGTTTGTTACTTTCATAACAGACCAGTGAGTGATATTAGAAAAACTTATATCTGAGAAGGTTTTTTTGTCACTTTCATAACCCGCCAGTGATATTAGAAAAACCTATATCTGAGAAAGTCTGTCGTTTTGCTACTTTCATAACAGACCAGTGATATTAGAAAAACTTATATCTGAGAAGGTCTGTTTGTTACTTTCATAACATGCAAGGAATATAAGAAAAACTCTCTGGAAAGTCTTTCATAACACGAAAGTCATGTACGAAAAACTTACCTGGGGCGGCCTGTTTGTTACTTTCATAACACACCTATGCCGTAAGAAACACCTCTATAGAAGGATCAGTTTTGTCACTTTTGTAACACTCCAGTGGCGTTAGACAATACAGCTCTATAGCAGTTTTATGTTGGTGACCTCAGGGTTTCTCTATGAACAAATTGAAATTGTGCCATGTTAATGAAAAGTTGTATTTTTGTAATTACAAGTTTGAATGGAGTTCTCTTTTCTTGCTGCTGTAACTTATTATTGCCTCAAAATGAAAGCCCCCTAAAACTTAAGCCCCAATAGTAAACTGTTTTGCTAGAAGGGTTGTTTGAAAATTTGTATTTAATTTCTCTTTCCACTAGTTAGGCTATTTTCAATAGAATTTGCTTGAAAATGAAGCTCATGACATAGTAACCATGCTGTTCTGAGAGGGATGATGATATACTGGCATTTCTTTACATTTGTTATTTTGCTTTGCAAACTTTGCAGAAGCCTACACTGCTTTGCTAATTTGGCATAGCTTTAGCAACTAGGTTGTGCAAACAGGCTGTTAAATTTCTGACAATGTCCTACCTTTAAAACAACTCGCAACATAATAATGTTTGCTATTTTAGAAATAATATACTTTGAGGCATTTTGGGCACACTGATTATGTGCAGAGGAGAATGTATTTCTTAAAGAGAAATAAAAGAAACTAGCTGGGCCCCCTTTCGATGAAAGGAATGGTCGGTGCTTTAATATCAATTAAAAGTCATTCGCCTACTATATTTACACTCTTCTGAAATGGGGCAATAAATCTTGAGAGATGCAAAAAATTAGGTCTAGATCTATACTCTCAAAACAAAATGCACCTCGCGAAATGTCACTTCCGGATTTTCTAAAATTACAAAGATAGAAGCGTTGGCCTCCAAAACCGATCGGCGAAATAAAGAAATTTAGCTTTTTGCAGCTAAACTGTCTCAAAACTGAAAAAAACCAAGGACGTCATGTTTTGGAGAATATTTTAAAGAATCTTTTGGCGAAAACCGCATGTCGATCGATGCAGCCATTAAAAAGCCTTTTGAATAGCAACATTCGGCCACCACAAATAGATAAGAGATAAGGGTTAGGATGGTTATTTATTTCTTAAAGAGAAATAGAAGAAATAAGGGTTAGGATGGTTATTTATTTCTTATAGAGAAATAGAAGAAATAAGGGTTAGGATGGTTATTTATTTCTTAAAGAGAAATAGAAGAAATAAGGGTTAGGATGGTTATTTATTTCTTAAAGAGAAATAGAAGAAATAAGGGTTAGGATGGTTATTTATTTCTTAAAGAGAAATAGAAGAAATAAGGGTTAGGATGGTTATTTATTTCTTAAAGAGAAATAGAAGAAATAAGGGTTAAGATGGTTATTTATTTCTTAAAGAGAAATAGAAGAAATAAGGGTTAAGATGGTTATTTATTTCTTAAAGAGAAATAGAAGAAATAAGGGTTAAGATGGTTATTTATTTCTTAAAGAGAAATAGAAGAAATAAGGGTTAAGATGGTTATTTATTTCTTAAAGAGAAATAGAAGAAATAAGGGTTAAGATGGTTATTTATTTCTTAAAGAGAAATAGAAGAAATAAGGGTTAAGATGGTTATTTATTTCTTAAAGAGAAATAGAAGAAATAAGGGTTAAGATGGTTTCTGCTATGGCCAACAAGCCAGCCCAATTGTGGTAGAGAAGAGTTTTTCAGTTGTGTGTAGTGCTAACGTGTACTTACATCCAGAGGACTGACAGGTTTTAAAACAGCACTTATCTTAGTTAACAAATTCACTTTTTCACTGTTACATTTTACATTGGCTGTGGAGTTGTGTATTCCTTTCTTATAGCACTGAAGACTGGGGTTTTTTTGTTGTTGTTTTTTTTTCTTCTTTTATTCAATTTTTTTCCAAGGCATCGTAGTATAAGGTCACATTTATCGAAACTTGGCCGAAGGACAGTTTGTGTGAAAATATCGGAACAAGCAGGGTGTGCTGTTTTAGTCTCTGCAAGATTCTTATTTTGTCGTTGGAGGGCTTTAGTACAATTTGAATTTGTTGTATTTATGTGGAATCTGTAACATAATGTATATGTATTGTATTGATACACTTCTATTCTCTATCTACTGTAGAATATTAATAGGTTGCTATCGTGAGATACTTTCAAGATGGTGTGAATTGCAATTAGTTCGAGTGGTGAAGATGTCTGGGTCAAAGTAAACTTGAGCCCTCTATTCAGAACTTACTTGACCTAGTTGGTATATCTGAGATCTTCGCTCTCTGTGCGGCCACGTGTGGGTTGTCGAAACAAGATGCACGAAAGACGCGGTTATTTTTATTTTATTTAACGAAGGGTGTCGAAATTTACTTTTTGCGGCATCCCTGCCTTTCTTGCACTCTGAAACTGTTAGTTAGAAAGTATCTACCAAAGTATTATAACGTGTTAACAGAGAGAGTGTGTTTTCAGTACTCGCTTTCTTTGTTTCCCTCTCTGTCCCTTCATAAAGTTTTCCTGTCTATTAATGCTTACAATAACCTTTAATACGGTAGCTTTAACTCTTGACCTATACTCTTAAACCTTGTCTTTTTACTTATGATAAGAATAGTTTTATATATATTTTTAGAACCGAATACTACTAGTCAAAGCAGTTTTTCAATGATGCTTAGCGTTGTTATACTCTCATGCTTGTATACTATACTGTACTCGCCTCTTAGATAATCTACATTGTGTCAATAAGGGCATAAAACATCTGCAATTTCACATTTTTTTAAAATGTTGTGTAAAGTTTGCTGCCGTTTTGCTGTATTGGGATTGTCTCCTTTCCTCCCCATTGTGAGCCCCCCTCCCCATTGTTATATAACACCCCCTGATCTTCCTGCCTTTCCCTTGTGCTGGAGCGGGGTGGTTGGTGGCCGCTCTGGTGTGGTCTGCTTCTTCTTCTTCTTCTACATGTTTTTCTGTGTTACCGTTGTCATGATCTGGTCGTGGCAAAACGGTGGACTGTTCTCAAGCTGACTCGCACTCGCTGTAGCCTGAAGCTCAACAACAAGATCAACTCATGATGATTCAGGTACTCTGTTTCGTTTGTGTATTTTGTGAAAATATCCAGTATATTATTATCATTTAAATAGATCATTTGCTTGCGTCTTTCGGCTAAAATCAAAGTAGAGTATCTGTTCCCGACTTTTTCTCCGACCTTGTGCCCATTGATAAGCGGGACGGATAGATCTACTGCAGAAGCTGATGAAACATGGAGAAATCTGTAACTCGATTATCTCTAGTGGATGGTTTACCGTCCTCTTTTTAAAAAAGAATATATATATTATATATATACGGTACATTTGCTTGTATGTGGAACTGAGAAATCAGAATCTGTGCGTTTGTTCATCACTGTACATATAACGACAGCATTCCTTCAGTTGAGAATCATTTGATCAAAATTTTGTTTAGTGTTTTCTCATTTTAGCGCTCAAGTTTTATTGTACGTCTAACAGTGACTAGCTTTTTTTTATCATTCTTAACCTGCAAGGTTGATCTTTCATAGTTTCAAAGAATATTTGTTGCTTCTGGGTAAAAGAAAAAAGGTCTTTCTAAATATATGGGTCAATTCAGCATTTGATCAAATGGTTTCATTTTAAAAGGCTTTCATATTTTCAGTTTTCATGCTGATTTCTTCAATGAAAGTTATTTTATCACTTAATTTACAGGAACTCCCATTTCAAACAGGGTTTTTTTATATATTTTTAGCAAGGCTTCATACAAAAGTTTGTTTACTTTTAATGTGTCAGAAATTTTTTCGCTCAATTAATTTTCTTTAACCGTATTTCTGTTTGACTGTGTGTGGTCTCTCAATTCTAAGGGTTGTTCTTCTAACATAAGGGCAGCCTCTGGTTGTGCCATAGACAAGTTTTTTATGCTTGTGTGGACTGCTTTCCCTAAACCGCTTTATAATATTTTGACTTCCGAGTTCATTCAATGATGATTTAAGTAACATTTTGTTCATAGCCATCAGTAGACAATTTGGTTCTGATTTCCTTTTCCCTGTATTTCAATAAAAAGTATGTTTGTTCGTTTTTATTCTCTGGCCCGTGCCTTGAACAAAATTTTATTGACAAGTTTATGCTTTCCTTGTTTTTTTATGTGTTCTGTATAGATTTCTAGTGTTCTTCCTGAAAACTTGCCGGTGGCTTTCATCCAAAGTAGCTTTCTACCAAGTTCCTCGCTGAAAATGCTTTTGATGTCATGAAGCTTAGATCTAAGTCAGTTGTCTAAGTACAGATTTTGTTCTTGTGAAGTGAAGAGTGAAAAGTGTGGGAGTTCATCTTCTTTGTGTACTTTAGCTTGACCAAACACACTAGATGAACTGATTTGAATTCTGAGGTTTCACTATTTGTTCATGTGATCTTACACCGAAATCCCAACTTTGAAATGTATATTTGATGCATGCTACCAGGTTTGAGCATGCCAGATTCCCCGCGTGCATTTTTTATATGAAGCGACTGACCTGTATTTTACTACCATCTCCATGTGGCCAGTATTTCTTGACTAGCATTGACCTTGTTTGTCACATGCTTCATCATTAAGTGATATAAAATTATGTAATCGGAACTCTATGAGTTGTAGGGGTGTAACTGAACCCTCTCTACTCAACTCTGTTTTTGGGGAATCTGGCCTAAAGCAGATTGGGAGGCAGAGAGAGAGAGAGAGAGCTGGGGGGGGGGGGGATATCTAATGTGGTCATGTTGTATTTTGATACAGTATCACTTCTTGTAAGGGGAGGGAATGATTTTTGTTAAAATTGTTTTATCTCTAAGGGGATCATGCCTCTATTGAGCAGTCTTTTTCTCACTCCACCTGAATAACTGCTGTCTCATACTGTCTTTTTGTGTGTGTGTACTATAAGTTCCCTTTCATTCAGGTATTACGAAGAAGGGCTTTAATAACGTCTGTGTCACGCAATGAGTGAAATGAAAACTGCAGTAATCTCTTGTTGTTGGTTTTAAGTATGTTTCCTTTCTAGTCTTGTTCTTCATGCACTTTTGGCTTTGGATCAGCGACGGTTTACTTGGATGAGGTCTAAAATTGTTACACCTTTCTCTCTTTTCAATGCACCTTCTTTTTGTAGAAATAGCTCGTTAGAATTTTCGGGTATTTTATGTAATTTGTTAGTGTCATATCTTTGCAAATATATGCAAGTTATACTGTGATCCTTATCTTATAAACTGGCCTTATCAAATAGAATGGCAGATTTTAGAACGTACCCGGCAGATTTGAGAATATACTTAACTCTATGAATGAACTTACCTTGCTCCTGAAAAGGATAGACCTGTATGATATTCACTTTTTGACTTTATGCATTATAGTGTAGTATGCTTAATAACCGCATTGCCAAACTGTTTTCCTCAGAATATTGAATGTACATAAACTTACTCCTTGCTAATCTGTCCCGTGTATTTGAAACTCAGAATTCTTGTTTATTGAATTCTACAGTATAGTTTTATGTCAACTTGCTGCAGACTTGATGTTCCAGTCCTTAATTCTGTTTCTCTTTGCAGTCCCTAGATTTTTTTGTGTTGCCCTCTTGTCATCAAAGTCAATACTAAAAAAGTCATAGTACATGATATACTAACGTGGGTTCTGTTTGTTTGTGAGAGATAGGATTTGTTCTGTTGTATTTTGGGGACTCAGTGGGAATATCAACTGTTTGGTAAGAGTTTTACAACTGCTTTAGGTCATATGAGCGCAGTCAAATGTTTAAATTAAAGAAGGAAAATAACTAAACAGCACTGCTATCATGTTGATAAGTCTCTTAATGAAGATTTAAAGTTTTCAAAGAGCAGACCACAATCTTAAACCATTTTTTTGCCCGATTGGTTTTTTGTTTGTCTGTTTTCTTTTCATGTTCTGTTTTTTGTTTCAGAGACAACTGGTCTTTATCAGCAGCGTGTGTCCTATTCTGCTTTGATGAGAAAAGAAAACTGATCAAAATGTTTGTCTAGAGAGCAAACCCACAGATATCTCAAGGAGACAAACTAAAACAATGAAGCATTAAAAAGAGCAGCTACGTTTTTGAGGATCTGAATAAGGAAGTCTGTTGTCATGTAGGGAAACACATTCTCCGTTTTCTAGTACTAGTACTAATATTCCCCTCGTGGACTTTCCGATGCTCAAGAAAATGTAACTTTTAAGACCAGATGTGCGAATAATATTTTATAATGAAAACCAAAAGCCATAGAAGAAGTTCGTCTGAGAGATGTTTTTCTACAGGTTTACTCTGAATAGCTAGAATTTATTGCATGCAGAAAATGTATGTGTGAGGTTTGGGAGGTGGGGGCGATTCTTGTCCACAATTTCGACCTGCCCCGTGGGTAGAGTGGTAGACTCTGTTTTGTGGTTTTGAAAAGTTGGCAGCTATAGAGTAGGTTGTTTGCTGAGCATTCTGTGAAGATCTGGTCAAGGAAATGCATGTTGTACAGAAATGAGATGATGATATTCAGATCGTAAGATACATTTTACATCTCTTCGTTTCTCTTTTGGTTGTGTCTGTCACTACACCGGTGATAAGAAACGGTCATGTCGCTCAACTCTGACAGTTAGAGTTTATTGGTATATTAGAAGCTGCTCCTCTTTTCTTCTTTGAGATGTCAAGTTGTGCAGAATTGTTTTTAGACTTTAATGAATTTATGTAGTTTCTTGGAAACTACTAGTGGATATATTCCGCCTGGGTTTCTCTTTCCTTTAATTCATATACAGCTTGCCTATATTTTCTTTATACTTTGGGTATTTTATTATCAAAATTATTTCAGCAGGCCTTGTAGAAATCTAGCTGTTGGCATACAAATTATTTGCATCAAATTTCTGGAGGGGGGAATCTATATCCGATGGAAAGAATCAAATAATGCTTCCATCCTCCTCATCTATTACAAAAAGTTATATGGAAAGCAGGGGTGTTTACAGACTAATGCTCATCTCGCATGTTTTATGAACTTACAATTTTTTTTGTTAGTTGGAAAAAAAAGGGTTGGTACCAGTTTGTTTTTATCTATTTTTTTTCCCCCGACTGCTGTTGCTGTCTTATATTATAATCCGTTCTCGTACGGTGTTTGTACTAAACTGTAGTAAACCTCTACTTGTTACTTGTTACTTGTCCTGGGTAACAACATCATTGCACACCGGACAGGTCCATAAGTGCTCAGTACCTGCAAGGTAGCCATATATTATATATTAATAGAATACCTCTTATTTTATTTTGTTTTGGGTTTTTTAAAGACTTTTGAGATGCTGACTTTGACAGACAGCTGGTGGGTATTTTGTACTGTGGGTTCTTTCCTCTATCAAAATGATCTTCAATCTGGCCCAGCAAATGTTTTAAAAAACATACAGTATAATACTGTAATACAGATAGGTCGAACACAGAAGATTAGAAATTATGCTTCTGTCGAACTGTGCCTGCGGTCCCATTTTTTTTTTTTTTAAATTTCGGGGGGGGTGTCTTTATCTTTGTAAGATTTCCCTCAAACTACCAATGCCAGTCCCAGGGAATTGTAGTTATCCGTGTTGAACTGTATTTTACTTCTTGTTCTTTCCAGTGCCTTTTTTATGATTTACTTGATGTAACTTGTAAAATTGTTTACCTGATGCATCCCTTATTTTTAATGCTGTTGATTTGACGACTGCTGATGAATGAAATTGATGTTGCCTCAGGTATGTTCTTCTCACTCTTTAATCATGTTTCTTTTTTCTGCTTTTTCTCACTTATACATGTATGTGGATTTTTACTTCTATTCACTTTATGTGCTTTGAATGTCCAGGCATTTAGAGCAACTCTTTGTAAGTGTGAGTGAACAAATTGCAACTGGTGTGCCATAAATCATACATGTACTACTACAGCATAATATTAATAGTTATTATTGTTCGTTTCCGATTTTCCGTCGTACTTTTCAATTTACTCTTGACGAAGGCTAGTGAGTATCGAAAAATCAGTGACTTCATGTTTCTGTCCCCGCGGCTTTATGCAAAAAAAATTATTAAATTATTAAAACTGAGCCCAAAAATGTGAAATTATGCGATTCTGTTAATTTTAACAACGCATGATAAAGGAAAATAATCAGAAATTATGCAAGAAATTATCAAATTTTGCTGAATTGTGCGGGGTGCATAATACCACGGGGACAGAATTGTTTGGCTTTTGAGTGGTTGGAGGGTGCAACTGGTCTGGTGTGTCATACTTCTTTACCTGTCCTCTGTTGATTTCATTTGTCGAGTCTTACTTATTTTACTGCATTATAATAAATGGCCTGTATTTGTCAATATATTCATAATTCTCTTTACTCAACAAAGTAACATTAAAGTTGTTTGCTTTACTTCTTGCTTTTGGCGACGGAAGTGATGTCTTTCCCCTGTGGGGAGAATTTTTTCGTTCGAAGTATCTCAGTCATTCTGCTAGGATGCTGCATCCCTCTCACTGTCAGTCGAGGCTGGCCTTGACAGGCAGTTGAAGACCACCTCCTAAGTCATCAGAATTGTGTCAATGGAGGTGCAAAAACACATTTTTGTTGATCTGGCAAAATTCAGTTTACAGTGCAGCCTCTCTATAACGACCTTTGGTATAACGACATCCTCTGTACAGCGGCATGGTGCCCAGGTCCCAATTTTTTTCCTTATCATTTCTCCCTGCGAGATGAATAAAGATTGTCATTTTCATTAGTAATTTTTGGTTGCCTTTCTATAACGGCAACTTTCCTCTATAACGACATTTTTTTCTGATCCCGATGATGTCGTTATGGAGAAGCTGCACTGTACTTATGTATGTGGGCGTACAGTATTTTGATCAATATAATGGATTTTGAACTGTGTACAGTCAATAACTCGAGCAATCTTAAGACTAGATTCTAATTCAGTTACAACTGAATAGTTATCCCTCTTGACACTGAATGAGCCTAGCCTAAGTCTGCTTTTTGCTGCTTCTTCAACAATATTTGTGATACGCCACTGCTACATTTTTCTTGATGCATTCCAAAAGTGTTTCTCGTTGTAAAGGCTACAACCCAGAAGGAAGCGGGCAGGCTGTTCTCCTCTCATGGCATGTGATATTTGAAATGTTGGTGTTCCTACGTAATGTTTTTTCCTATTGTTTGTTCTCTCCCAAATCGAAATTTGAACTGCATTTTTTAAATAATATGTACATGTACTTTACATTCAAGGAAACTGTCTATTGTATGGGTGGTTGGCGGGAGGGCTCTGGTGTGGTTTGCTCCTTCTTTCCTATCAAACATCTTTCGTCCTAATCTCTCCCCCTTCTTTTTTTATGTTTGTTACTCTCTTGTAACACCTCTGATCTTCGGCACTTATTTGACCTAATTGTGTTGCAAGTGCCGTAAAACTCGTACTAAAAACAAAGCATTGTTTAATAACATGTGCCTGTACAGTGCAGTCAAGGAAACTGAGGTGATAAATTTGCTCCTCATAATGTTATGCAACCAACCAAGAAGATGTGTGTCATCTTTTTAGAATTTCAAAGTTTTAAAAATTTTCATCCGCTGAGAAATTTGTATCAGACATCAACAGTCTGATAGCTCAGAAGTATTAAAATAGGCTACTCACCTGTGTCTATGAATTAACCTGTCCCCGTCGTTTTATGCAAGAAAAATTCTGAAGTTATGCAAACTGAGCCCAAAAATGTGAAATTATTCTATTCTGTTAATTTTAACAAAGATTAATAAAGGAAAATAATCAGAAATTATGCAAAAAATGATCAAATTTTGCAAAATTATACGGGGTGCATAAAACCATGGGGATGGATTAACATAAAAAGCCTTTTATTTTATCTATTACCATTAACATAATAAGTTATGTTTATGGGAATTTTGAATTTTAAATTCAGAAAAATATTTTTACAGTTGCATATTTTTTTTCAAGTCAGAAAAGTAAGGAATGCTTGCATTGGATATTTCGTTCCACAATTTTATGTGAAGAAACTAGGTCAGGATTTCCTTGAAGTCTTTGGTAGAATTTTCAGTGACTAACTTTTCCAAAATTTTAATAGGATTACAGATGGCTTTCGATTAGATATATAGGCTACAGTGTAATCTACCTATTAAAAAAGGGGAATTTCTTTTCTGTTGTCTAATCTTATGGATTAAGATTTGAATTGCTGCTCCATGTTAATGAATTGCGTTAGTTCATTTGAGACATGTCCATTCCTCTAGCTAATCTTTTTATCTCAGCAGACAGGCATGAAGAACTCTAGTCACAAGTGCCTTCTTGCAGTTGACTTGATGTATTATTTTTGTTTTCCACATACAGTATTCACTTCCTCGTGAGTCTGTTAATGATTTCTCTGTTGTCATAGATAATTGTTTGGCTTTAAATAAAAAGCTTTTAAATGTGTTTTCATGAAGTGATTGTTTTGATTTTGATTGTTTTCAACTGCCAGCTACTCTTACTCTTAACCCTATCCATACGCCCTGGGGTCATTTTGTACCCCCGGGGTTGTAATTTGTATTCTTCTCACTTCTCATTTTAGAATACTTTCTAGAATCTAGTTCGAAGATCTCTTTGAAACTTTTGGTATTTCTCAAAAAATCATTTTGACAGACTGCTGTGCAAAGCCTGCGGATCGGATTAATGAGTAAATTTTGTCTTAAGAAAGTGGTGGCACAGTGTTCCCCACGTCGTAGGGATACGATAGTAAAACACGACGTACAGATAGGGTTTAAGCAATCACTTTTTAT